CTACAAGTCTTTTCTTTTTTTTAAATAAATTTATTTATTTATATATTTTTTATTTTTGCCTGTGTTGGGTCCTCGCCGCTGCGCACGAGCCCCCTCTAGCTGCGGTGAGCAGGAGCCCCTCCTCATCGCGGTGTGCGGGCCTCTCATTGTGGTGGCCTCTCCTGCCGCGGAGCACGAGCCCTAGGCACGCGCGGGCCTCAGCAGTTGTGGCATGCAAGCTCAGCAGTTGTGGCTTGCAGGCTCAATAGTCATGGCGCACGGGCCCAGCTGCTCCGCGGCATGTGGGCTCCCCCCAGACCAGGGCTCGAACCCATGTCCCCTGCATTGGCAGGTGGACTCCCAACCACTGAGCCACCAGGGAAGTCCCCCCTACAAGTCTTTATGTGTCTCTTGTGCATGACTGACTTCATCTAATTCCCTTGGAGTCTTGCACATATTTTACCGGTTCCACTGCTCTGAGTTCTGTCTTATGGCACTTGTTGACATGTGAAGTGGCACTTCCTTTTATTCTCAAACTTCAAGGTGTTCCACGGCTTGCTTCAGTATTCAAGGATCCGGAAAAGGGTAATCTTGTTCACCTTACCGTTTTCTTTAATGATCTCGTAAATGCTGATCATGTCCTCTGACTGGCTCTGTCTTTCTGGTTTGAGACCTTGTTGGTTTGGTCTGTCTTCATTTCATAATCCCTATAGCTTCTGCTCATTGGTTGCCTCCTCAAGTTTTGGTTTATAGAACTGCATACAGTGGTACAAGTTGTGATCCATTATTATTATTTTTTTGTACAAGATTTTGGTAATTTTTCTGGTAAATGTATAAAATATTATAAAGCCTTTTAGAAAGAGATCTTATTTGGCTTTACTTAGAATACTCTTTATCTCATAGTTTTTGCGGAAAAAAGTCAAGAGCGGCCTGAGAATTTCTACGTTACCTCAGAGAGCATCAGGAAAGGTAAGCAGATGTCCTCAGCTTCCTTTTGTATGACCTGAACTTCTGGGTGGTGGAAGTGTTCATGTTTCAGTGATTTCCAGGTGTAACAGCTCCTTACCCTTGAAAAACACAGAGGTCCAAGAGGTACCTGAAGTGGAGCTGTACTGATGGTAAAGGGAGAGGAGAAGAGATTGGGGTGCCTTAGAACACTGTACAAATTGATCATACCAACGACATTAATACCCTAGAAAGTGTCTGTAACAGCACACTAAAGTACAATCTAAACATTGAGACTGATACCAACAGGATGAAAGTGGGCAGCCCAGCACCCAATCTTTACCTGGTGATGCAGCCCTACCGTGCTATTTACCTACCCTAAATGTATTAACTAAACTATACTTTAATTCAACTTTTATTTGAGGCATTTTGCTTGCCACTGGGTGACATTTTTCTTTTTTTTCCAAAGACCTTTTAAGGAAGTTTGAAGAGATAAGTTGAATTTCCTTGTGCTAAACAGAGGCATTCAGTATTATCCCATTGATGATTCTTCTGGAAAGGAACTATGACACCATCTAAGTGTTTGAAAGCTTCCCTAAGGGCTTTGGTGGTAGGAGATTGGAACTGATTGGCTTTTGCATTTTTTTTTTTGTCCCCACACTCCATCTCCCAACACAATTAAAGACAGCCTGGAAGAGGGCAAACCTGGGAGAAAGTTATGTGAGTGTGTGTAGACAGATGAGTAAATGGTTGGTAAGAATGACACATTAGCTTCTTTGAAGCTTTTTCAATACCCAGTGGTGAAGTCATCTCTCTTTTTCCTTCATACCGTCTCCCTGAATCACAATGCTCACATGGGGTCCTGCTGGAGAAATTTAGAATCAAAGATGGCCCTACAGGAAATGAGCAGTGAAATGTCAAGTCATTTTCATATGCTCCAGTGGCCCCATCACCTCTTAAGGAGCTCTTTCTTTCCATAGAACTTAGTGGAGTCACAGAGCCTAGAGAGAGAGGAGTTGGCTTCATACTTCCCTAGAGTATCCAAAGCAGAGAACTGTATGTTTTTAATACGGGGGAGAGGTTGGCACACGAACAACCCAAGGAGAGTCAGCTGGGACCCAGAACCTAATTTTTACCTGGTGATATTGGACTGGGTCATGATTCTATTAGCACTCCAGTCTCCTCAGGCAGTTCATACCCATCGGTCCACAATCACTGTGCCCCATGCTGCTTGGAGGCAGGGGGGACGGGGAGGGCTGGAAGTGGTGCTGGGAGAAGCAGCCTGGTTAGACTTGCCTGTATATTCTCTTCTGGAGTGGATTTTAGCCTAAATCAGTGCTTCTCAATTGGGGGTGATTTCTCCTCCACTCCCCACCCCGCAACCGGCCAGAGGACATTTGGCAATGTCTGGGACATTTTTTGTTGTCACAACTGAGGAAGGGGATGCTGTTGCCATCGAGTGGGCAGAAGCCAGGGATGAGGCTAAACATCCTACAGTGTACAAGACAGCTACACAGCACCAACAAAGAATTATCTAGTTTAAAATGTCGATAGTGCCAAGGTTGAGAAAGGCTGATCTAAAGGCTTCTCAGTAATTGACGGTGACTCACTCTGTGGATGCCTTACTTCCTAAAATGGTGTGGCCTTGTCTACTTTAGTGTAACAGGATTTGAAATTATTAGCTGCTTCCCTCTCTCTGATTCCATGTCATATCTCCCTTTTCTTGGTTCCACATGTAACTGTTCTTTTGAGACACATCCTCTTGAGCCCATGGCCAGCCTCATTAACCCCACTCATCCGGTCAGCTCTCCCCAGCGGCGCCGCTGTCAAGCTGAGTTTCTCCATCCTTTCCAGAGCCACCTGTCAGACCCTGGAGGGACAGGCCTCAGTCAAGCATGTATGACCCATTTGCTGGGATGAAAACTCCAGGCCAGCGGCAGCTTATTACCCTCCAGGAGCAGGTGAAGCTGGGCATCGTCAACGTGGATGAGGCCGTGCTCCACTTCAAAGAGTGGCAGCTCAACCAGAAGAAGCGGTCTGAGTCCTTTCGTTTCCAGCAGGTAACTGGCTCCAGATGGACTTTGTTTTATGTCTGTTTCTCTGCTGGACAGTGGAGGAGGGCTGGGTCCTTGGCTGTCTTGTGTATTGCTGTAACTGCACACATGTGACTGGGCCTGAGAACATTTGTTTGGGTGTCACGGTGAGTCAGTGTGTATGTGTATTTGTCACCTGTTGTCTGTAACCACATGGCTCCCTGGCTGAGAGCTGGATGGCTTTTCTTGTTGTCGTGAGGCTAGAGATCCGGAACCAAGACTCAACTGCAACGCCCAGTTCTGCGCCTGCCTCTTCCCTCTGTGTGTGGCCCTGTACTTTTGCTTTCTACCGTTTTTCTCAGAGGCCTTCTCTCTACTCCTACTGCCAACACTCCCACAGAACTATCATACTTTAGAACTCAGAACTTGGACAGCTCTCAAGAATTATGATTAGGTGAACAAAACAAGTCTCAGACGTAAAACCACTCAAGTTAAAACACATTCACATGCATACCCACCCCCCCACACACACAGATGTACACACACACACAGACATACACACAAAAACTGTAGGCATGTATGCAAATGCAAAGGCAAAAATCTGGGAATGGCTAGCCCACACCCATCCGAATGGCTACCACTCAAGAGGAGACTGGGATTGGAGGGCTGGGCTATCAGGAGACTCTTGCTATTAGCATGAGGGTATGTAACTCCACACAGTGAGAAGTGGGGACATGAGTCCTAAAGCTGCATTTGTCCATCTCTGACAACAATCTGAGGCACTGTGCTAAGCGTTGAGTGGACCTAATCTCTTCTACCCCTCACAGCCCGTGTTGAAATAAGTGTCATTGCTCCCATTTTACAGAAAAGTGAGGCTCAGAGAAGTGAGGAGGCAGAGTCAGGATTCAAACGAGCCCTTTCTCACTCCGGAGCCTGTGCTCCCTGCACTACACCTTCTGCCTTCTGAGTGTCCCCTTAAACAGGGTCACCTGCTCTCCCAGCCTGCCCCCTTCCCTTTGGGGGTCTGGATGCAGGAACCCAGGGCCCTTGTCATCCAGGAGACCCAGGGAGGCTGCAGGGCTGCGGGTAACAGGCTGGTCCTGGCCAAACACTGCTTTTCTTTCTCCTTGCCAAGTTGGTGCTGCGTGGCACAGTAGTTAGGAGAAGCCAGGGACCCAAAACCAGGCAGCCTGAGTTCAGCCTTATTCTGCCTCTTCGGGCTGGATGACCTTGGCCTCTCTGTACCTCCACTCTCCCATCTCTGAAATGTGAAGGGAGAGGACTAGACGATGTAAACCTTGTTAAGCCTTCAGCATGAGCTGACACATAGTAAATGCTGAGAGTACTCCATGCTCTGACAGCCTCCTGGTGCTTCCAGAGCACCCTCCATCCAAGGACTGGAGGGTGTGAAGACTATTCCTGGGGCTGCCCCACCGTGCTTTTCCTCCACGCCTCTGTCTTCTTCACTTCCCCTCCCGTGAGCAGGCACCACCCAGGTTCCCTTCAGCTCCTTCTCCGTGCAGGTGACTCTTGAGTCTGTGTCTCTGGTAACACCTTTCCAGCCACCAGCTGAACATGTCCCCTGAAGTGCCCTAGACCTGCAGCACACCCAACAGCAAACCGTCCCTCGAGGCTGCTGCCCTTTCCTGACGCCCTGTGTCTGTTCACTGCACTGTTATCTCCCAGACGCTGAAGTTCAGGCATCAGCCTCCCTTGGGCTCTTCCACACTCCCCCGCATCCAGCCAGCTGTGTGTCTCGCTTGGTCTTGCTCCATCACGTTCTTCCTCTTGCCTCTGCCCCTTTCTTTGCATTCCCTCTGCCACATCCCCGTGCTGGCCTGTATCGCCTACCTCTGCCCTATCACATTGTCTCCTGGTGGGTCTCCTTGCCTCCATCTCCTTCCACCTCCTCTCTGCCAGACCTTAAAGCTATGGCCAGCCCACAACTTCCCATGTTTCCCTGCTGCTTCCTGGACCAAGCTCAGTCTCTCAGCTGCAGTCACAACCCAACCAACCTTTCAGTCCTGCCTCCGTGGCTCCCTCATGGGAACCTTCTGCTCCAACCAGATGGTCTGGATGTTGGTCCCTGGGGCATTTCCCTAGAATGCTCAGACACTTAACTTCAAGCTGATTGTTATTTATTGACTAAAATAGCAACAAATCTTGACCCTCACATGTCTGTTCAACATTTATTGAATGACTGCGATAGACCAGACTGCAGGATTACAGAAAGGTCCGAGACCTGGTCTCTTGCCCTTCAAGAGCTCACAGTACCTCTGAAGAGACCACAGGCGCGCATGCGTGTACACACTCACACACACACACACAGGGTAAGGCAGTGTAGCCCAGTGGCAGATGGCATGGGCAGCAGTAAGGACTGGAGCAATATGGGAGGGGGCGCTTAGAAGGTGGGTCTTGACCCAGGCTTGGAACGAAGTCATGGAATCCATGTCCCTCAGGGTCAGGGGAATGTGTGAGAACACAGTCTCAGAGGTAGGAATGTAGGTGGAGAGCTTGTAAGCAAGTAGAAGACAGGCTTTTCTAAGGGGCGTGCAAAGTGGGTGGTGGGTTATAAGTCTGAGAAGGAGCTGAGAACCAGAGAGGAGGGGAAATACTTTGCTGTGGACAAGATGTCTTCTCTTCAGGCACAACTTCTAAGAGGGCTGGGATTTCTCTGGGAGCCGATTGCAAATGCACTCCAGCCTCGTCTGCACGTTGGAAATGTTATTGCAATGTGATATATCTTGCAAATGTCATAAAATCAGAAAGAAACTCTAATGCCCAGAGGGTATAATTCTGGTGTATATTTTTAAAATAAACTAAATTTTTTTCCAGGAAAATCTTAAACGGCTAAGAGATAGCATCACCCGAAGACAGAGAGAGAAGCAAAAATCAGGAAAGCAGACAGGTATATGGCTTCCTGGGGGCGCTGCATGCTGGGAGACTTTGCTGTGGTCTGTTGTCCTTGACTCTCCTTTGTGCTGGGGCCTGAGTGGGCAGAATGCTTGCCCAGCACTTGTCACCTGGCTATAGATCTGGATCCCCCACTAGGCTGTGAGGTCTTTTGGGGCAACGGCTTTGTCTTGTTAATTCTATAAACCTAGTACCTGGCACATAAGGCATGTCAGCAAATGAATGAAAGGAAGGCTTGAACTCTGCATCCCTCCTCCCATGAAAGAGGATGATAATGCTTTGTACCCAGGCACCTGACTCTCCCTTGGCATTTAGGAAGACACTTTTTTCTGAGCAGAGAAAAGAGAAAATCCCATTCACATAGTGTTTGTTTCTGATTCAAGCAGGGCACTGCGTCATCAGTGTCCACACCAAACACTGCTTTGGAAGTCCCGGTCTCAGGTGCAGCAGGGCTCCTGCCGTGTGTGGTGGGGGCCCAATAGCAGGGCCATGGATTCCAGTTGTGCTCACTGAGGAGCAGGCCCCTCTGTTCCCCCTGACCCTCCCTCCCCCAGGTGCTACCCATGTGGCACCACCACCCCTGAGCAAGGAATGGGCATTTGCCTGCACTGCATATCCTCGCTGAGAGCGTCTGGCATGGTGGGTCTCTGTTATTTACACTGGCCAGCCTTATATCAAGAAAAGCTGGCAAGGAAAGACTTTCAGAGCATTCAGATCTTGAATGGTGCTCCATTATGTAAAGAACTATGCTGGTGCATAACTTCTATAGCTTGTCTCCAGCTGCCATCAACGGCCCGACTTCCCATGAACCTGGTCAGTCTGGTAATACCCTGGTCTTCAAACAGGACCTCTTCCTGCCACAGGCCCCTTGCTCATGCCTCTCCCTCCTCACCTGTATGAAACTGCCGGCGCTGAGAGACCCAGCCCTGACAGCCCCTTGTCAATGAAGCCTTCCTGGATCACTCCTGGCCATTGTACTGCTTCTTCATTTGAGCATCTATAGAGCCTAGTATCCCTTCCGTCCACCTGGCACTTCTTTTCTGTTGCCTCTGGTTGTTATTACTTCATTCCTTCAAACGATCAGCAATTCCCAGAAGTTCTGCCTCCAAAGTACATGTTATCATTTCTGACGACCTTCCATGCCACAGCCACATCCAGGCCACCACCATCTCTCCCTGGATGAATGCAGAAGCCTCTTCAATTGTCCCCCTGTGTCCATTCTTATTCCTCTACAGTTAATCCTACAAACTGTAGTCAACAACCTTTCAAAAATAAAAATCAGACGATGTCACTCTCTTGCTCAAAACCCTTGGGGGCTCTTGTCCCAAGAGTAAAATCACACTCTTCATTGTGACCTACAAGGCCCTGCATGATGTGATGCCTGAGCGCATCCTCCACTTTCCCCCACACCCTGTGTTCCAGTTGCAATGGACTGCTTTTTGTTGCTCTGTCATGCCAAGGGCATTCTGCCCAGGGCCTTTGCACTTGCTGTGCCCACTCCACTTCTTTCCCCACATCCTTACCCACTGGCTCTTTTTCATCCTTCAGAGTTAGGCCATTCTCTCCAGAGCAGCCCTCCACGACTCACCTCCTCTGCCATTGCTCACCCTCTTCTCACAAGTCACAGACTGGAATTATGCTTCTATTCTCATGGTTATTTTCCACACCCCTTCTCCCCCCAAACCTGCCACCACCACCTGCATAAGCTCTGCAAGGACAAGAACTTGTCTGTTTTGTGCTCTGCTGAATCCCCAGCATGTAGCACAGTACTTTGGTGGAACTCAAGAAATCTCTGTTGGAATGGTTGGTTTGAATGAAATGTTTGGTGACACCATTCATTCATTCCACAGATACTTCCTGAGCACCAGGCACCCAGCCAAATACAAATCTTACACCTGTAAGATGCAATCTTCACCATCTGGTAGTTCATGAGTTAGTCTTTTATTTGTGTAGGTCTGGTTTTCCCAACTACAGCCTGTCCCACGATGCCTAGCACAGTGTTTTGCAAGCAATACAGCCTAGTGAATATTATTGATTTTGACTTTTTGGAAGAAGAAGAGGGGTAAAGAGGATACAACCGTGGCAGGAAGTCAGAGGGGTCATCCTCAGACTCCTGCCTGGGTGACTGAGTTTTAAACGTATGCGGCCACTACCCACCCTCATACTTGTCTGCCTCCTATTTGAGAGGAGGAAAGAGGAGAGAAGGGAGAAAATCTGTTTCAAGAGCTGCATTCATCCTAGGGTCAGACAATAGGGTTCTAGGTGGTAGAGGGCTGAGGTGCTTTTTAAAAGTAGAGCACATGAACCCAGAGGTCAACAGAAGCCTTGATTGAATGAAACATTTCAAGCTTTTAAATATAGGTAGTATCAAGAAAATTGCGATTTGGTGGGGCATGTGGTGTTTGAAGTCCAGTGAGTCGTAGTGGTGGAGTCATGTGTGCTCAGCAGCCTGGGCTCCAGAACTGAGCTACTGGTGTCATCACACATGTACCACCCACCCAGGCTCCACCTGGGCCCACTGGAGAGATGGAAGCAAGACAGACATGCATGCCGAGGAGTAGAGGGTTGCAGGCATGGGCCCTGGGGCCAGCAGGGTTGAGGTCAAGTTCCTGCTCGCTGTTCACCCCTAACTTGCTGGGAACCATGGGCAAGATACTTCACCTGGCTGAGCCTCAGTCCTCATCTGCAAAATGGCACAAATAAAAGTGCCCATCCAGGAGAGCCGCTCTGAAGGTTCAGTGAGTTAGGGCATAACTGGGGTCAGGCACAGTGCCCAGCACATGGAGGCACTCTAAAAACCACCCACACATCAGCTGGCATCCTCTTAGCCAGGGCTTCCCAGGGAGAGTGCGCTGAGCTGGGACTCACCATCCAGGGGCCAGGCCTGGAATCGTGGCTTTTGACACGTGGCTTTTGACACATTTTACAAAGTTCACTCAAGGCTAATCAGGCTCCGAATAAGTGATACCCACCAGTGGCTCTAGTCTAGATTAGAATGGTCAATTAGAATGGTCATGTCCTTTTCCAAAGGAACATGGTTTAGATGCCCTACCTTCCCTGCTACCCTACTCTTCAAGAAGCAGACCCCTGACCAGGATTTGGGGGTGGTGGTGGTGAAGGGTTAAGTATTTTTACTTTTTACATAAAGGGTTTTAATTAATGTCATAACTATTAAAAGATTAAACTGGGCTTCCCTGGTGGCACAGTGGTTGAGAGTCTGCCTGCCGATGCAGGGGACGCGGGTTCGTGCCCCGGTC